TGGTTTGGAGCGTGATGTTCATAGTGCTGTTCATGTATATGGCGACGGATACCACTTACCACCAACTGGGATAATTACCATTCAAATGAAGTGAAGTGTGATTGATACTGAGTTACTATAGAGAAAGTACCAGGAAAACATAAATTTTGCTGCACCCGCCTGCGTTAACGGTTTACGCTGGCGGGGCACCAGTGGAGGATGATAAGATGAACATGAGGTCAAGTCAGTTAGCCCATCGTGACAAATTCACTAAGAATTTATCACAATGGTTTCCAGGGGGAACCGCGTGAAGGTCAACCTGACATGGTACATTGCTAGCAATAAGATAATCAATCCACATTACTAACAATCCCCTTTCCCCCCTATCGGCGACGGTTACCACTTACCATCAGGTCGGGTTACTATTCCTGTTGAAAGAAATGAAGTGTGGTACAGCGAAACTATAGAGAAAGTATGAGGATAACATGAACGCATGCAGATGGTTTGGAGCGTGATGTTCTTAGTACCTTTCATGTGTATAGCAGACGAAATGAAATGAAATGAAATGAATATTTATTGCTTAAAATGTGGTACATGTGTGGTTTTTAAGATCTTTAGAACTAGTTTCACACATTTTGTCATTTCTGACATGCAACAGACAAAACAGATGTCAATTTTGGTTATTATTCGTTAGTCAATATTGCCAATATTGATGTTATGTCAATATTGACGTTTGCCGTTTACCATCAGCTGTGATAATTACCATTACCGTAGAAAGAAGTGAAGTGTGCTACTGATATACTATAGCAAAAGTACCAGGACAACATAAATTCATAGATGGTTTGGAACGTGATGTTCGTAGTGCTGTTCATGTATATAGGCGACAGTTACCACCTATCAGGTGGGACGACAGCTTGTTTGCCCAGTGATATAAAAAAAAAACTGCTACACCACCGTGGTTTTCCCAGTATTTGGTATGTTGATATATGTCATAATATTAATACTGGATTTAAGGCCAAACTTCCTGACCTAAGTGTCGTTTAGAAAAAGTTAATAGGTCTATTATGGAAATAGGTATAAAAATTTACAATAAGGATACCAAAGGATATATTGGAATTACCCTTAAATAAATTCAAAACATCTGTTAAATCATATTTACTGAGCAAAACCTATTACTCACTAAACGATTACTTGAATGACGAGCGTGCATGGCAATAGTTGTTCATGCACGGGATTTTCATTTAATGTTAGACATAGACACCTACGTAAGTACACAATTAAAAAAAAATCAGATGAGTTTCTTGCCAGTTCTTCTCAATTGAATCTGTATACTGAACTGGATGGTGGGGAAAAAAAATCTAGAAAAAAATTTGACGTTCATAAGCGGCTAAAATGTCTTACAAATGATTTTTTAATTTAGAGTTACTATAGTGAAAGTACCAGGACAACATGAATTTATAGATGGTTTTATGAAGTTATAGATGGTGCTGTTCATGTATATAGGCGAAAGTTACCACCTACCGTCAGGTCATAAAAAAAAACTGCTTTACTATCGAGGATATCTCAGTATTTGCTATGTTCATGACTAGGCGTCTTAATATTTGACAGTGAATCTATAGAGTCAGAGCGAGATGGTACCCATATGTGGGTAAATGAAAGAGCGAGATGCATATAGTAGCTTCGTTAATCAACTGTTGTTACCAATGTATTGCCGGGGGCGGACTTGGGTTTATAAATAAACTAGGTAATACACGTGACTTCGTCTGAACAAACTTTCATCCCCTGTTTCAACCCATGTATAATATTTTAATCTTAATATATAATAATATTATAAACGCGAAAGTTTGTGAGTATGGATGTTTGTTACTCTTTCACGCAAAAACTACTGAACAAGTTTTAATGAAACTTTAAAATAACATAGTTTATATATCAGTATAACACATAGACAATAAATTTCATGCGAGTGAAACCGTGGGCACAGCTATAGTATTATAATAAATAGGCTAGGTCTATCCTCGTATTCAGTTTGTAATTATTTCAGATTTCATTAGAATTTATTTAGCAGTGCAATCGTGAAATAATAATAATTTTTCTTATTATTGGTTGGGATTCCGGGGCGGCTCACTCCCGGGAAAGATGCAGAAAGCGGTGCTGTTAGATTCTGCCCGCATTGTACGCCGGTTTCTCTCCCTGGGGCCCTGAACCCCGGCCGACTGTGCTTCTGCCGGGGGTATGTTGCCATCTCCTCTCCTTAAGAGGGGAGAGAATTTTTGGAAAAAAAAAATAATAATCATCTCAAGACAAATCACACAGCGCCATCTAGTCCCCAGTTAAGCTAGCTAAAGCTTGTGTTATGGGTTGTGATGTATATTTACATAGTGTTAAACGAAGTTGCCGATGTCTTTTAGCTTATATCTTTTATATTACACAACTGATACAAATACATATATTTTTTTTCCTAAATACATACATATTATACATAGAAAGCACTCAGACCGATACAAACAATCATACTTATGAATACAAATGTTTGTGCCAGGAATCGAACCCGCGACCATCGGACGTAAAGCAGTGTGCTAGACCGCTAGACCACCGAGGCCGTCAAAATGATTAGCAAATGGACAGACAGACAAATTTTAAATCAATAGCAACGGTGAGCCTTCTGAGGAAAGGGGATTGTTAGTAATGTGGACTAATGACCCCATTGCTAGCAATGTACCATGTCAAGTTGACCTCCACGCGGTTCCCTCAGGAAACCATCGTGATAAATTCTTGGTGAATTTGTCACGATGTGCTAACTGACCTGACCTCGTGCTCATCTTATCATCCTTCACTGGTGCCCCGCCAGCGTAAACCGTTAGCGCAAGCGGGTGCACCATTCCATTATCCTTAAAAAAAAACTACACCACTAAGCCTATAAAACTATGTAACAGTATAAATATAATGATATAGAAATTACGGTCCATTTTCCCGTTTACAATGTTTCCAATGACACAAATATGACATAATGGGGAAAATGCAATTAATTTTAGTATTACTAATGTTTCCCATTATAAAGTTTAATTTATTTTATTACTCACTTCATTAAATATAGTGATGATAGATTTCTAAATTAGTTATATATGTAAGAAGCACTAATTATGATGGACGACTGAGGCTTTGAAGCCGGCTACCGCAAGGGAAACCCCAAGTAGCGCCCGTGACTTGTGACACGGGTGTAGGTTTAAAAGGCCCTTTTGGAATCCATTAACACTCACCTTCACTATTTACGCAACAACGTCGCCCGAGGCACTTTCTCATTGACCCCGACGACCCCATAAGGGCAGTCAACCTCTCCACGGGCCCACCCGTTTCACCCCGACCACTCTTTTACACACACACACGACACCGTCCTCGCCGGCGAAGACGACGACCCCCAACACACCATATCGCGTAATCACCCGGGCGCCTGCGTGCGCCCTGGGCACTCTACACCGGCGCCCCTCCGATCGATCCCCGTCCAATTCAAACGGGGATCGAAATTCGATCGAGATCGCCCTGAGCCGTATCCGTCAGGCAGGAGCTGGCCTTCAGCCGCTCCATAAGCCCTTCCGCGGGTTTGGAGTGCCATCTGCACTCGCCCCCTATCGTCCGGTGAAGCTATAAAGGCCAGCTGCGGCCAACAGCATTAGAGTAGTCCGAAAAAAAAATAAGCAGAATGTGCTTGTTGTATTTAAAATGCTAAAATGAATTGTGTTAGAGACTTAGTTAAATTAATGCTATATAGTTATTATTTTATTATAATACATACTTTTACTAGTACATAGAGTTTATATATCTTACACTATATAGCTATTTTATTTTATATTTTTCTCGGAATCCTTCTAAAATGTAGCACTTACTTAATATTCTTTCAACGAAATAGTAGAAATCAACAAAGTAAAGAGCACAAAACAACGAATAGTAAAGGTGGTTGAAACAAAACAAAAAAGAACATTAATTTATTTATTTATGTCACTCTAAGTGAGCTTTACAGTCTCCCAATATGCTCACTTAGGAGGATTGTATACACATATATATACACACAATTATAAACACTAATTACTAATACATACACACTAATTACACAAGGAAACAAAAGAACAATAATATCTAATCTTAATTTAACATACTACCTAAATAATCTACTGCCATCCTACGACACTCCAGCAAATTACAAGCAAATATGTCTAGATCTGGAAAGCGATAAACTACACTGTTGAGTAGACTCAATGCCAGAGAAATAGGAGCCTGTTTGGCCAGCTCTATTCTTCTCCATGGAACATCAAACAAGTTTCTTGCTTGTGATGTATATTTACATAGTGTTAAACGAAGTTGCCGATGTCTTTTAGCTTATATCTTTTATATTACGCAACCGATTTTAATACAGTTTCCAGCAATAGATAGAGCGATTCAAGATGAAGGTCTATATATATAAAACATGGGTGTTCTTATCGAACAAGCAGGGAAATTAAGAGAATTTTAATACATCCATGAGAAACCTAGACGGGTCGAGCGAGTTCTAAATAATTAAAATAAATAAAATGAAGATATTATCATAAACGATAAGGAAAAACAGGAATGAAAAGAAAACTTATAAGTTCAGATAAAATCATCCTTATTCAAGCTTTTTCACATACCAACATCCTTTTTTTTTTTTTTTTTTTTTACTTGGAGAAAATCCCTCATGGAGACCCGCCGGCCCCGGGGGAAGCCCGCGGGTACTGTGAGACTCCTACTCACTAAAAACTCCAAGATGTCCCTCACCCAACGCCTAAGCCGGAGTCGCGGGATCGATGACATTCTACCGCGACTCCGGCGGCGGTGGCCCACTCTAGCAGTGGGCCCCATCTCTGCGGGTTCCCTAGCGGAACCCACTACTTCCCCTCCTCTTCCCTGGGGAAGGCGCGCGGGGACATGCGCGCGACTTCTTCGGGCCTAGTTCGGTGGGGTGGGACCGCCCCCGCGGTCGTCACCCCGGCCCGGTAGCGATCGAGGGGCAACTACTTGCCGCCCCTACCTCCCTGATCGCCAGGAGGGGGACTGGGCTCACGACCCGTGTCCATCCCCTCCTCCTCTCCGCTCCTTCGGCCTTGGACTTGCGCGGCTGGCCGTTTCGCTTTCTTGTTTTTGGGCGGGGTGCAAGATTTAGCACCCACCCAATGGTTCGCCGGGCGTCCTAACGCGGCGCATATGACGCACCGCGGATCGGCTGTGCATGTCGCTGCATGGTGACCTCCTTCTCCACAACGGTAGCAGAGGCCGCTACGGTCCTGGGTTTGTGAGCACTGTGCGCTTACGTGCCCTCCTTCCAGACAACGGAAGCATCGTAGCGGCCTCTGCCGCAGGAGCTCCGTCCGTGCTGAAACCCATCCGATACGGATGTGTTTCGCCGTGGTTGCCTTCTTGATGCCCGCCACGGGGCCACGAACCCAGCAGGTCCCCATCCCGAAGGAATTGCGGCGGATCTCTCCTACTTTAATTGAGTCCGCCTGACAGTCTCCGGCTTGCGCCACTGCCGCTGCGACCTCCTCTGTTGTTGCGGAGTCGTCCAGACCCATCACACGCATTTCCGCAGTTTTGACGGGCCTGGCCACCTTCGCCATATTCTCCGGGATGAATTCCCGGAGCTTCGACGCTAAGGCGTCGGCTTTTTCGCCACTCTCCGCCCCAGGAATCTCCAGTATCCTGGCTCCGGTGATTGCCTGGCGCAGTCTGAGCGTCTCGATACCGAGTGGACGAAGATCTACTCGGCTTTTCGCCTCCAACAGTATGTTGGCGTATGTAACGCCTTCCTTCTCTGCGGCCGGGTCTATAGTTATTACCACCGCCGCAGAGCGGGGTGGTTTTAACTTTGACGGGACCGGAGCGCTGGGTTTGGTCGGCTTTGACGCACCCGGCTTAACCCCTTGTCGACTGGTTGATGGTGTCGCTTGTCCTTGCGCGACATTTACCATCTTCCCCCGCTTACCCTTCACAACAGTGGCCCAGGTGGCTTCCGTTGGCTGGGATGGCTGTGTTGCCGGGGGGGCACTAGTCTCGACCGGTTGTGAGGCCGAGTGGGCTGCCGTCTTGGGCTTTTTCTTTTTTCCGCCCTTAGCCTGGGGTGCGGACCCCTGGGCGTTTGTCCTTGCGCCACCCGCTAGAGCCTGGGTAACTGAGCCCTGGCTTCCATCTTTCTTAGCAGGTGGGCATCCTTCGGCCGAGACTTGGGGAGATGGGAGGAGACGACCCTCGATGCTCGCGAGTCGATCATCCATCATCTTCCTCATATGCCTGACCAGTCTCTCCTCCATGTTTTCAAGGACCCGTGGAGTTCCAATGGGTACCTCTGTCTCTGCCGGTCCATATCCTCTAGCCGTAGCCCGCGATCGCTCCACTTCCTCGCGTAGGGCTGCCATCTCTGCGTCAAGGCGGGCAAACTCCTGCCTGAAGCTGGCGATTTTAGCCTTACCTTCTGCCACCTCTTTTTCAAGACGGGAGTTCGCAGCACGTAATCGTGCGCACTCGACCGTGTCCGACCGCGCCTTGAGGACCTCCGCCGCCCTACAAATTGAGGCAACGGAGTCTTTGACTTCCTTAATGACCGTCCCCTTTAAATTTGCCGATTTCCGGATCGCGTCCAGAACTCGACTGGCCTCTCTTTCAATCTGTCCTCCGAGCTCGTCAGCGGCCCGAGACTCCTCATTGAAAGAGGGTGTACGGGAAGGCTTACGCGCTGGCGGTTTCTTCTTTGTTTTGGCCGGTTCCTCCTCTGGCATTGTCCTTTCGGCCTCTTCTAGTGCCAGTATGGCCTCTTTAATGCCGTCTGACGGCTCTTCAGTGCAGGTCGCGTCATCATCCGTGTCAGTGGCCCTCATCCGCTGTAGGCAGACTCGGGCTTCCTTAAGGCCTGAGGGGGCCTCCTTACTCGCAGCTGAGACTGTTGCTGCAACCGTCGGCGCGGCAGTCTTCTTCTTCGGCGGCATAGCCACCGGTTCGAAAAACTTGTCGTCACCGTGAAAACGGTACCCGAACATTTTTCGGGCATCCCCGCCTGCCACAGGGTTTTTTGTGACCGGGGTTGTTCGCCCACTCCAATCCGACTCTGAGTCGGCGTCGGTGCGACGCCTCTTTCGTCTTGATGACCTACGGGGGCCCTCAACTGAAGACTTCCCGTCGTCATCTAGTGACATGCAGGAGCTGGATAGGTCAGACCCCAATTCCAGTTCCCGCTCCGCCAATTCCAGCTCGCGAGCTAACTCGCCAAACGCCGCCGCATCTTCCGCGTTCATTCCTCCGATTGCTCTTTCCATCAACTCTCGGTTCTCAGCGTACCCCGTCTTCTCTCCGTCCTTCGCGGACACCCCCGTCTCACCGTCCTTCTCGGACCTTTCGTCAAAGGTTTTTTTGTTCTGTGCATCCATTTTTGTTCCCACGAGTGTGGGGGAAAGGTTGCACAGCCGGCGTTGCCCCCTGCTACCGACTGCGGCCTAATACTCTTTGGGTGCGGCTGGTGCCCAAAGGTTGGTGCCCTTGCGGCCGGAGTTACTCCTCCGACCCGGCCGCCCCGGAGAACACGCTAACTGAAACGAATTCCAGCAGCGTGCTCCGCGTGACGACCTGTCCCTCGCCAGGCACCGAGCTTAGACAAGAGGTTTTTTATAGAGGTTGACTCCTCGCGGCCCCGGGCGATTAAGCCAAGAGCCCCCGCTCCCACACTGGGCCGATAGACGTGATCACCGACACCCAGTGCAAGTTTACGGTTTGAAGTCAGTTGCACCGAAGTGCTGTCCGGCTGCGCAGTTAAGCACCCACCGGACCTGACTTGCCAGTAGGCAAAGATGAAACAAGGAGAAAAGAAAACAGAACAATAGGAAAGATTCGAAGAAAGAAAAGACAAAAGACGAAAACAGAAAAAGAGAAAAGATTAGCCTACTCCTACTCGCCGGACTATCGGCCGACATAGTAGCAGTATCCCGAAGGAACGTCTACTATCCCGCCCAGGGCGTACCAGAACCAAACCATTGCTCGGCCACCGTTCCCCGCGGACGTATCCACGAGGATGGGGAAGCCTCCCAATGGATGGCCCATACTTGGAGGTTGCCCGACTCACGCCCCACATACCAACATCCTACCACCAATCCTCATAAACAATTACAACTTCCGGGTAGCAAATACCATTATTTCTCACGTAACCCACTGGGCAAACTGTAATTCTAATTAATACGTCTCCATATATATTGTCTTTCCTATTCATGATAAATGGTGCAAGTGCTATATCTGTGAGAAACATGACAGCGTCCGTCCTAATATTAGTAGTTGAGAGCGTGACGTCGCTATTTGAGAGCGTGACGTCGCTATTTGAGAGCGTGACGTCGCTATTTGAGAGCGTGACGTCGCTATTTGAGAGCGTGACGTCGCTATTTGAGAGCGTGACGTCGCTATTTGAGAGCGTGACGTCGCTATTTGAGAGCGTGACGTCGCTATTTGAGAGCGTGACGTCGCTATTTGAGAGCGTGACGTCGCTATTTGAGAGCGTGGCCGCGCTAGTGGAGAGCGTGGTAATGGCAACTGGCGTTGACGTGTCGCTTCGCGCTGACCCCATATACACATATAAAATGTATATAAATGTGGCTGTTTTCATGATTGATAATTCTGAAAAAGATTTCTATTATTAATAATATACAAATATAATATATAATATTAAGTTTATGACAGTGTTAACTATTATGGTTTTGGTTTTTACACAAGCGAGCACGTAAGCTTTTTAAGGTATTGTGGATTTGATTTTACATAATATGTGGATAAATATATATATGTATTGTATAGAATAACTGAACTTGCGACCATCGGAAAGTAACACTATACACTTGACGAAGCCAAGATTATTCGCCAGTTTGATTAGATATAAGAATAGCGATGACTGTCAATTTAAACCTCTTTTTTTAAATAAAAATAAAGAAAATTTCTAGAATAAAAATATTCTAAGTTACTTCTTATAACGTTAACTATCTGCTATTAAAGTCTGGTAAAAAACTGTCCGGCCGTTTCAGAGATTAGCAGTAACAAACATTCACACAAAATTTATTTTAAATGATACTTTTTTTACATAACATAGTTATCATATACATATATTACTTTCATAAGTATTTAGTGAAGGGAAAAACTGTTATTTTGAAATTGGTAACAGGCTGACAATATTACCTGATTGCACTAAGAATCAGTGCGTAGCGGTTTCTATATTGATTAACTCATGTTTCTTATTTATTGTGTAATTATTTATTTATCATAACATTTATTCAAAAGAGCAACATACTCTTACTCATTCTTCTTGTGACGAGTCTGCATTTCGGTAGAATCAATCACCACTCAGTAGAATTTAAAAATATGACTATTCAAAAGTGTCAATATTACTTATTATATGTATGGAATATTTTATTCCAAATCTGCTTATTGCTTCAGGGGCGAAAAAGCGACGGTGGTTTAATAGGTCATGCAGAGAAGCCAGACAGGCTAAACAAACTGCTTATCAGGCTTGGACCAGAGCTCGTTCTGACAGTGATGTTGACGTATCTGATGCAAGGCGGAATCTAAATGCTACGTCCAGGTTTCGTCAGAGGGTAATTGCTAGAGCCAAATTCGACTTCGTCAGCATAATTGAAGACGAATAGCACGACATCCTTCGGAAGTCGTGCCTTTTGGTCGCTTGTCGAAGCTGCTGAAGGTAACTTTAGTCCGTCGTAGCACCATTACGGAAGCCGGATGATAACTAAGCGATGTGCTCAATAGAGCGAGGCGGTACTTCACTGCGGACCAGAGACTTCTCTTATATAAGTCACAGGTTCGGCCGCACTTGGAGTACTGCTCTCATCTTCGGGCAGAGGCACCTGGTTATCAGCTCGGTCCTTTTGACTTGGTTGAGAGACGTGCCATGAGAATTGCCGATGATCCCAATCTCTTTGACGGTATCGAACCACTTTGTTTGAGGCGAGACTTCGCCTCGCTTTGTGTGTTCTACCGATTATATAACGGACGTTTGTTCTGAGGAATTGTTCGACATGATGCCTACGGCCACTTTTTGCCATCGCACCGCTCGCCTTCGACCGGGAATTCATCCCCACATGCTGGAACCTAAGTGGTCTCGGACAGTGCGGTTTTAGAGGAGCTTCCTCCCGCGTACACTTAGTTTGTAGAATGAACTTCCTGCCGAGGTTTTTTCACGAGACTACAGCATGGGATTTTTGAAGAAGGGTATATTAAGGTTTCTTAAGGTTCGGCAATGCGCACTTATTAGCCCTGGTGTTTCAGGCGTCCATATATAGGCTACAGTAACCATTTACCAACAGATGGGCCGTATGCTTGATTGCCACCATCGTAGTATAAAAAAAACCAATCTCTTCCAGACAACCTTTAGGTAGAGAAAAAACAATAACAGTGGTAAAGTATAAACATTATTAAATACACATACCTCGATATTCACACAATATTTAACTACTGTGGTCTGCTCGCCGGATGTCGGTAACAGAACTATGATTAAATACATAATAACTTCCATTAGGCACCACCTACAATATTTTCCTCATATTTATAAAAAATAGGTAAATTTAAATTATAATTAATGTAGTGATAAAATAAATGGTAATACAATAATACTTATGTAGGTATGAAAACGCGCGATGTATAAGTTGTGTTCAAAATCTACCCTGTACCATCGTAAGCACAGATTATTATATTAGAGTCCGTTAGTTTCTGTTCCCGCGCAGTTACTTCCCCTCCCTTACCTAGTACTGAACTGACCGTACGGCGGCCATGACGCGCGCGTATTTGTTGTGAATTAAAATAAATTAGAACTGAGTTAAACCTACTGTGAAACTGGAAAGCTAGCGAAGATATCTTCGAGACCCTGAAGCCCAAGAAATCCGCAGAACCATACAGGTACGAGACAGACGCTTCCACATAAAGTATTTTCCCTAACATTTTGGTAGCAGAGCGTGGTGTGGAAACCTCTGATTACATTTGATCTGGCCTGTTCCGTACCCGGAACACCCTATTAATTGTTTATTCCAAATAAATCTGTGCTTAGTTTGCCTTAAATTAAATTAATACTATTACATTACTCGTCTTGACCTTTTAACATTTACCTATAACTTGTGATCGTGTTTAACCTCGTAAATTAAAATTACTATTTGCGTATATAAACCTAGTATTTTGTTGAGTAGGTGTTTATTAATAATTAATACATTTTTAATAAAAGTTATAAATATATCATTGCATATCAGCGTAATGTATTGATATGAATTGAGTGATGAACTCATCCGTCATACTCGTGAACGAGTGCTGCTTGTAGGGACTGGTCTGCTCTTATCTTTACGACTGATTTAATCTTATTGCATGATTATATTTGACCCAAAAAATTAGTGCTTGTTGGTAGTTTGTATTCACACGTTTCGACTTGTAAATGTAAACTTACAAGGATTATTTAAAAGAGCAACACACAAGTTTCTTGCTCGTTCTTCTTGTGATGAGACAGCTTTCCGAACGAGTGGTAGATAAAAAACAAATTGTTATGACTATTCAAAAGTGCTTAAATTAAGTTTATTTGAATAAATGATTTTCTATTCTATTCTATATTTTATTAAATATTTCTTTTGTTTGTGGTAATTAATATTTAAAATAAAGATGTCGAATCCTAATGATACGGTGAAAGCGTGTTTATTCAGTGAGACTGTTGAGTATCGGCAGTCAATGGGTACTGTCCGATTAATCAGTGACTGGATTACGGATACTTATGCTTTGCTGCCTTCTGCGTCACGCTGCCTTATCGTGCGACTTTCTGAACTGAATGAGAACTATGCTAAATTTAATGAAGCGTGTTCTTGTTTCCTTGGCGGTTTGGACCCGGTGATTGATACGAAGGAGTATAAAGATACCCTAACCTTATCTTTTTTTTTTTTAACGTGTGGAAAAATCTTCAAAAGACCGTTACCCCGCCGGAGGGATGGCGAGGTGGTGTGTGGGACTTGTACCCACTAAAAAACCACACGGTGTACCTACGAGCGCCTATGCCGGAGCCATAGAGCCATTCGCAAGTGCATTCTACCCCAGCTCCGACGGCGACGGCCCGCCCTGTAGATGTTGTAGGGCAGGCCCCATCTCGTTATGTGGTTAGGGCGACCTATTTCGCCCTACTCCATTGTGGAGGCGTGTGGGTACACGCGCACACCTCCGGGGCCTTTGGATTGGGGGGACTGCCTCCCTCAAGGCAGTCACCCCGGCCCCAGTGGGGGATAGAGGGGGCGGAGTTGGATACGCCCCCACCTCTAGGCCTGGCTCTTCTGCGGCGGAGGGAAGCGGGACGAGCTGACTCCCGCTCCCTTTCCGCCGCCTCCTTCCGCGAGATAACTTCCTCGCAGAAGGAGCTAAC